CACGATTTATCTCTATTAAAAAACGATTCAGTGACTCTTGCATTGGCTACTTGCTCAAAATACTTCTGGAGGAGTTGTGGCGCGCTAACGTGATCACAACGATGGCCATAGGTATCTCGGAGTGATCACGTGTTTTGTGAGTAATCAGTGAAAACCATAGTGATCGATTTCTCCTACTTAGAGTTCACCACAGTAGTTCAAAGGACATGTGTTTATTCTAAAAAGAGTAATCCCGCCCCCAATCACAGGTGTGTTTTGTAATTACATTGTGAACAAAAAATGTTTTGGATGGAGACCACCCGAAAAAAAACAGTGAGCAAGGTTATTCTTTACTAACTTACCGTCATTGTGAACAAGTCCCTGGTATGTCGATTGACTGTCTTGTTCGCTAGAGGTTGACCCGCACTCTATTGGTCTTTCTACTGGGATTTGATCGTAAATCTCAACTTCTGGGTTTCTTATCAGAACTAGTATCAAAAGTCAATTTTTAAAATCAATAAAAGCAATAATTACTCTATTAGAAGCTAGTTCATTGATACTCATTTTGAAACACACAATTTGGGTTCCAGACTCCTTCTATTGTTAGAAAAATAGGCAGTCTGAGACTGCATGTGGCTAATGATATTGATAATACTAGTTTTCATTGACTTGTAGAGTTTCAGTGTGAGTTTTCCAACAAAATTGTTGTACCCATGTATTGGACCTGGTAGAACCTCTGCTCGTAGTCACATCAGGGCTTCACCCATGGCTGGTGGATAATAAGTTACATGTTGGTTATTTCGTTGGCTGAGCTTTGATTTTACAAATTAGCCGATTGACAGTTGATTTTAGCCTTCATTGACAGTTGACGGCGCAATCGTTTCGGTAAGTTTACCTTGAGATCAGATTACACGTTTTTCAGTGGTGAAAGAGAAAGTACTGTTCCTCTCTAGGTAAGCTGTAGATTTTCAACTGACACGTTTCTTTCCCGTTTCGCTGACCTGTTCTGAAGTAATTTCTGACATGATAACGCCACAGAAGTAAATAATTTGTTTTGTAACCAGTTTGATATTCAGTACTTGTAATTTCGTGTTATCCGCATGTAATTTCATGAATCAGTCGCTGTCCGATATCTTAAGAAATATGTCTTGTCTCTTACAGATGGAATAAAATCAAAGAAAGAAATCTACGA